CTCCTCCCCACCCCCAGGTCCCTCAATGTCCCCCCGGGTCCTGGAGCGTTCTCCTCCCCACCCCCAGGTCCCTCAATGTCCCCCCTCCTCCACACCGTTCACACCACATCGTGCTGCTCACTGCTCACGGGGACGTGTCCTAAGGGAGATGGGACTGCGTCTTACTCACCATCCACAACCGAACATGCTGTGGAGTCACTCGGATTCTGACTCAAAGGGAAGAATGCAGGAGAAACGAGGGAGGGAGGAGAGAGAGGAGGAGCGGGGACAAGAGAGAGGGGAGAGGGGCAAGGAGGCGAGGGTGGAAGCGAGAGAGAACAGACAGTAAAAAGATCGACGGCAGCAGCGGGCAGCGAGACAAGAGCAGGAGACTTATCCTCCTCGGGGGAGAGCTGGACTGAGTCTCAGCTCAAGCCACTCACAGACACTCAACGGGACAGCTACCCAACTGGAAAGCCACTTGACGGCACAGCCACCCGACGTGACAGCCACCCTAGGGGACAGCCACCCAATAGGACAGCCACCCAACGGGACAGCCATCGAACAGGACAGCCACCCCAGGGGACAGACATCCCAGGGGACAGCCACCCAACAGGACAGCCACCACAGGGGACAGCCACCCCAGGGGACAGCTACCCAATGAGACACTGGCATTTACCACTCAGTGTCCTGAAAAGACACAGTAATAAAGGGACACCAAATGATACGTTTAATTTTGCTTTGAGGCTAGAAAAATGTAGTAACTTTGGGGAAAGCTGTCCCTATAGTAAAGATGGCCAGCTAATCCTCACAGTAAGGCCGTGAGGCAGGTCTTCACCATCTAAACAGAGAAAACGAGGCAGGATGCATCTCCGGCAGGTGAAGCGACTGGATCCTTCTCCTGCCCTCCGCACTGTGGAGGAATGTTCAGGAAGCATCACACAAGAGAAGCATGACCTGTCACAACACTAAACGGGGCACATGCCACAGGGATGCCTCGTTCACATCCAATCTTGGTATGTACGAACAAGAAAGCTGGCAAGAAATCACCCAGCAGGTGGATCAAAGGGAGCGTCTTTGCACTGTAAGTCTGCCTAAGACACTGAAAACGAAAACCCCAGGAACTTGGAGTTCTCATTCTTCAGCTGTACAACGGATCCGACAGAGGACCCACCTGGTTGACTCGGAAGAGATTTCAAAGGTGATTCTTGGGAGGTGCCAAGCACAGTTCCTGGTACGTGGAAGGCACTTGTGGCAAGTGTGTGATGGCTATGGATGCCGCTACAAACACCCAGCCCACTGCTGTCAGGACCACCTCCGCTCAAGGCAGCCCAACGAGTGTGTGCAGCTGTGATCGCAGTGCGGGCTGTGTCGACTCCCTGTGACCCCCACAGAGCGCCCACCGGTGGAGCCCCCCCCAGCAGCCCCCACAAGTGTGTGCAGCGGTGATCACAGTGCGAGCTGTGTAGACTCCCTGCGGCCCCCACAGAGCGCCCACCGGTGGAGCCCCCCCCTCGAGCAGCCCCCACGAGTGTGTGCAGCGATGATT